AAAAAAAAAACATCCCTTAACCCTATACATTTCTACCAAAATACTAATCTTTAGCTCTAGCGATTTTTTTTCCAGTAAACCACAACTAGCTGTAAACAATATATTTTAATTTGACAGTCCAGCAACATATAAACACCAAGTTCATTATTACAGTAAATTTTTACTTACATCTATTGGTCTTTCACCAGCATCTCCTCTTTGACCCTGTAAAACATTTCACAGTAGGGTTTGAAGAAAACAGTGTGAGGAAAAAAACAAAACAAAACAACAACAACAACAAAAAAACAAAGTTTTAAATAATACAATAAATACTATAGCAATAGAAATGTTATGAGCCCATTCTGCATACATTTGAAGTGCTTTGTGATCAAATCTTCATCTAATTCCTATAACTAGATAAAGAGAATCAAAATAAGCAAACAATACACAAATCTTTCTATTAAACCTAGACTGATAATAATTGCTTAAAGACTGGTCCTCACCATGCAAAATTTCCATCAAAAGAGATTACTGGGGACTTCTCAAAAAAATTGCTGAAGCACACCAGGCTGGAAAAGCTTAAACGTCTCGGGTTAGGAATGTAACCATGGTTCCCCAAGAGGGAACGAGATGCTGCGCCCCCTAGGGGGCACAATGGGGAATGCAGCCTGCATGACCGGTGTCTGAAGCACGTGTGAAACAACACCTTTCTATTGGCCCACCTGGCCCATGACGTCATAGGCGGGATGCCCGGAAGTATAAAAGGGCACCTGCTGAATACATCATCCACTTTAGCTGTCTGAAGGAGACGTAGACAGGCAGGCTGACAAACATACACCAAGCCTTTCCTAAGAAAGGGGCCAAGCCACTGACGCCACGGGTCGCTCACGCAACTTGGCAGAAAAGGGGGAACCCGAATAGATCAAGGGGAACATCCTACCCAAGTTAAGAGCACAGCTATCCTCAGATAGTTATGCTATGTAAGCAGAACTAGCCTGGATACACAAGACCACTGAAGAGGCTAACTAGAAAGCCTCTAGAGGAGCTAGAGATCGCTACATACAGATTGCAGGTAAAGAGAGTAGCTGCTGAGCAAGAACACAGCTATCCTCAGATAGCTATGTCCCTAAGGTCTTATGAAGGCTTGTGGACCAGAATAACATAGCCTAGATAGCCTTCCTACAGAGCTGTTCAGACCACAGAGAGTGGGCTATCTACTTAATACCCTAGCAGCACATAGATATCCTCAGATAGCTATGTACCTAGGAAGGGCAACCAGAAGGGGGACCAACTGAAAACTACCCAGACCACAAGAGTGGGCTGTCTACTTTCGACCCAAAGAGGGGAGACAACACTGTCTAGGTACGGGCTCAAAAGACCGCTACTTAAAACCCTAAGCAGGGGAGCAAACACTGAGCTAACACATAGCTATCCTCAGATAGCTAGGTTCTAGGAAAGGGGACCACTCCATGAGAGGGCTCACTGTAATTGCAGTAGAACACAGCTAGCCACATATAGCTGTATGCCAGTAAGCCCGTCCTGCCAAAATATTTGCTGGAATATAACCACCCTCAGATGGCTACATTAAGGAGGTCCCAAAACTGTGTCAGTCCCACAGAAGACAATACACAGCTAGCCTAGATAGCCTTCCTGCAGAACTGCCCAGACCACAGAGAGTGGGCTATCTACTTACAACCCTAGCAGGGGAGATAGCACTGTCTAGGCAAGGGCTCAAGGAGACCGCTACTTAAATACCATAAGAAGTGGAGCAGTCACTGAGCTAGCACATAGATATCCTCAGATAGCTGTGTACCTAGGAAGGGCTACCGGAAGGGGGACCGACTAATACTACCCAGATCACAAACAGTGGCTGTCTAATTACAACCCAAAGAGGGGAGAAAGCACTGTCTAGGTAATAGCTCAAAAGACCGCTACTTAAAGACCCTAAGAAGGGGAGCAGCCACTGAGCTAGCACATAGACATCCTCGGATAACTATGTAACCAGGAAAGGCTACCAGACTGAAACTACCCAGACAACAAGAGTGGGCTGTCTACTAATCTCACACACACTTCAAACAGACGGCTCCTGAAGACAGCAAAGAGGATGACGTATTCAGTAGGTGCCCTTTTATTGGGACCAACCTCTAATATTTCAGGCCCATATTTACTCCTGTGTTAAAGTGTTCTTCCACCCACTTTTAAATCCAAAAGACACTGAAACTCTGCTCCATGCATTCATAAACTCTTGCTTCACCCTCCTTACCTAGCAATTCTTTACCTATTACCTATGCATCTGTAGGAAACCCATGCAGACACAGGGAGAACATGCAAACTCCACACAGAAACGCATCCTGGATCAGTTGAGGACCTTCTTTCTGAAAGGCAACAGTACTACCCACTGAACTACCATGTCGACCCACTTTTTAATTTTCATTCAAATTACTATGCTGACAATATAATTTGTAATGAAAAAATATTGTATATGCTCACACAACTTGCATTCTCATTTTAACTAGACGATCCCACAGTAACTGCACGGATCTTGGACTGCTTAGCAGACTTCTCTGCATGGATTAAAGAATAACGCCTGTAGCTCAACCTAGCAAAGACAGAGATTCTCATCTTCTGTGCCAATCTGACTGTACAGAACAATTTCACCATACAGCTAAAATCATCAACAATCTTGAGGTAATGTTTGATGACCAGATTACCTTTAAAGAACACACTGCAGCAACAACAGCACAATCATGCAGGTTTGCACTGCACAGCATCAGGAAGTTCAGGTGCTTTCTAATGGAGCATACGGCGCTTCCAGGCCCGTGTCATTTGTAGGCTGGACTACTGCAGTTCTCTTCTGGCTGGACTTCCATCAGGCGCAATCAAACCTCAACAAATGATTCAGAAAGCCCATGATTCAAAAGGGTCCACGTCACACCTCTCTTTATCTCCCTGCACTGGCTACCGGTTATGGCTCGCATCAAGTAGATTGCCGTTGTTTCACACGTGCTTCAGACACCGGTCATGCAGGCTGCATTCCCCATTCCCTAGGGGGCGAAGTGCTGAGTTTCCTAGAAGGGGAACTGTTTTTAAAGAGGCTGGAATCTACTGACCAGATTGGAGAAAATTTATATACTGCCGCCAACAAAAACAACAATATACAAATAAATAAAAAATATATAGGCCCTACCTGCTCTTGATGCCTGTATTAGTGGTATTAAAATCTCGAATTCAAAACTGAATTGGTTATTAGGACCACAAGCTCTTGTAATGTATGCATATATACAGTATATATATATCCAAGACACTGATGCTCTCCTACCTCCACTCACTCTTACAAATCTGCATTCCCTCCAGAAGCCTGAGGTTGGTAGTGAGTGACGGCTGATAGAACCATCACAAAGAGGCACTAAATTAATTTCCAGAATGTTTTAGTTCACTGTTCCTTGCTGTTGGAATGATCTTCCTAATCCTATCCCTGACAATATTCAAGAAACAGTTGAAAACTCATCTCTACTGTCAGCACTTAACACTTGTTTCCTGCTGAAAAAAAAACACATTCTTCTATCCTTTAACCATTTCTTAATGCCTCCCTGTTCTAGCTTGCATTATTCTCAAATGGTGTCTGGAACTTTATATTGCTAGCACGTCTCATAATATTGCCTCCTTAGGATGATCGCTTGTTGTATTCTTCATAAGTAAGTTGCACGTCTGCAAAATGAATAAATGTACATGTAAAATTATTGCCTTTGCACTAGTGGTTTCAAACTGTACATATGATTTGTGTATATCTAACTTGTGTCATAAATCACTGAATTAAATTGAAACTTGAAAACCTTCAAAGAAGAAATTAGTTTCTGTGAAGTCTATCACGTGTACAGTACCATGTGTTGGGCAGTTACTGCTACTGTTTTACCGTATTTGAGATTATTTTCAAAACTCTATACGGTAATTTTGAATGACAGATTCATAACAAAATTGCCACTTCTAAAACAGAGAGCAAACCAATAGTAATTAAGATTTAGCTCTAAATTTAAAAACAGCTGTTGATAATTAATTTAGTTTCACTGAAAGCAGCCAATGCTTGTAAACCACAAGCAACATTTTCATGAATGCTTTTTTTTTTTTGGCCATGGCAGAAATGTTCATTACCTTACTAAAGTTAATAGAGCTACTCTTGGAAAATATGCTCACCATAGCGTGGGCTTTTACCTCCAAGACTTGACCAGAAATGCAATGTCAGAGTTTTTTTTCTCGTTGGATCAGAAGAAATAAATGTAATTTGGATAAAGTGACCAAATCATTTCCAGAAAGTTTAGTAAATGTATGAGACATCCAAACCCCAGATATAATATGATGTATAATTTTTATGGAGTCGTAATTAATGACTTGCCTTCTGTCCTGGTGATCCTGGCATTCCTGGATGTCCTGGCTGGCCAGCTGCCCCAGGTTCTCCAGGCTTACCCTTGATCAAGAAAAGCATATAAACTTGTAAATAACTCTTGCGGGCTATCATATATGTTTCCTCTTCCTTCAACCATCTGATGAGGTTTAATTTGAATAGGACTTTACCTCTAGTCCTGGAGGTCCTGGTTGACCAGACTCTCCACTGTTCCCTTTAGTGCCCTAATAATGGAAATTTGAGTTGGAGTATCCAAGTTAGCAAGTAAGAACTTGTATTAAAGATCCCATGAAAAGGCTTGATGAACATGGTTCTCTTTCTTTCGTTGGTACATTCTCTATTAAAACAGGAAATCAGGACGGAACGTATCAAAGCTTTTATCTTACGTCACAGACATGGATTTGCTATCTGCTAATGATAGGGAGAGATACTTTCTCATTCTAGAGAGCATTTATTGGACAAAATACAGTAAAAGCTTTTTTATTTTTGGCCTGTGAAATCTGAAATGTAATTCTGTCATGACAACTCTCGGAGGGACTGGCATGGTAATGTACATGACAATGTTAATGTATTTGGTCTTGGCGGAATAGATCTGCTACGCTGCTGCTGCTGCTGCAGCAGAGCAAGTACCGAGACTTGCTACTGCCAATACATTCACAACATGCTGCTGTGAGCATGTAAGAAATATTGCTGCTGCAAATATAACATACATGAAATAACCCCCAGCGTACATGATAGCGTACATGAATCACCTCGTAGCAGATCTATACAGGTGGAGCTGGGGAAGGTGGAGGGTTTCTGAAGCAAGCTGCAACTGCTACGGCAAGCACTAGTCATATATTTGAATGTTGAGCAGTGAGCTCATTGGCTACCGATACAGGAGAGAACCAATCAGCTGTGCCATGTGATAATGATGTCATTAGGTCAGACTGAGCAGGAGAGACCAGTCAGCTGTGCCATGTGATAATGATGTCATTAGGTCAGATTGAGTTAGACCTGTCGGACTGCGCCATCTAGAGTTTCAATTCAATTCAATTTAAGTTTATTTGTATAGCGCTTTTCACGATACAAAAAGTTGCAAAGCAACTTTACAGAAAATTAAGTTTCAACAATACTTAGTAGTAGCTTATCAGTGGTGACTGTCAGTTAATGTACATATGGCAGAAATGTACGGAAAAATCAATTAAAGACGTAATCAAACAGACGATGAACACTATTAACAGCAATTATTTTTTTCAAGTTTCATGCCACAACTCTGTATTTAACTGCAAAAAGTTAATTTTGACAACTGAATTATTGAGCTGAATAATGACAACATGAATACTGTCTTTCTACAGCAGCTTTATAGCAGAATTGAATGTGCCTCTATTGTATGAAGTGCTATAAAAAATAAAGCTGACTTGTCTTGACTTGACAATTTTTAAGAGTGTACTAACGTAAATATGATTTTCATGGGAGCTTTAAATGCATCTCTAATTAAAGTTAAAGCAAAAACAACATCTATTGCTTACAAATAATTGAAAACAACATATGTAAAAAAATACACGTTACCTTAATTTTAATAAATAAATAAATAAATACTGGTTTTGATCACTGAAAGATTTCAGAGATTAACTTACTGTTGTCCATGATCTTAATATTTAGCAGCAAAACATTTTAACAGGACTTTATTTGTTCACTGTAAAATATTCTCACACATTTTCTCATGCATTTGTGGGATAAGCAATTCCAACTGCAGATGGTGATATAATCTGTGAACCAGATTAATTCTTTGCTCACTGCACTGTCAATTTATGAGTCAAATCCATTTCAATAACAAGAGAGACGTTCAAAGTGACTCTTCATATTGATGCATAAAACAGTCTGACTGACTCGGAGTCCATGGAAACTGAACAAATATTCAAACTGTAAACAGTTTTCTCTTGCTTTTTAAAGCATATTTAGAGGTTCCTCATGCAGATTTTGCCAGTCTTAACTTCAAAGGTCTTGCTTATTTTATTTGTAAATCATTTTTTAATCGTTCTGCTGCTTACTTAACTAAATTTTTACTAAAATAGATAAAAGCAGAACAGATAATGTTTCTATGATTTGGTATTGACTGGTGTTCCATTTCTAGTTACGTCTAGTTTGATGGTTTTAGTGGGGGGGTCGACCACTTCTCAGCTGATCAGGCTGAGAGACCATCTAAAACTAGTAAAAACAAAGTGTTTCGGTTTCCACAAAAAGCAGTAAATCAGCACATTAGAATGAGAAGAATGAGAATTAGAATGAGAAGGATCACTCGTACCACCTCTTCTGCCCCTTGGCTATCTGATGTTCTCTGTGAGTATCGTTCTAAGCTCAGAGCTGCAGAAAGAGTATGGCGCAAATCACAAAATCCTACTGACCTTAATGTATATCGATCACTTCTCTCTTCATTCTCTGCTAATGCCTCCACTGCTAAAAGGACATACTATCACAACAAAATTAACATGTTTTGTTTTAAAACAACAAAAAACAAACAAACACTAGCTATCTATTTTTTCTATTCTATCTACTAGTTTTTCTTTGTGTGTGTGTGTGTGTATATGTGTGTGTGTGTGTGTGTGTATATATATATATATATACCTTGCTACGTGTACTTGCTACGTGTACTGTGTGAGACTTGTCATTTGCACTTATATATTGTTGCTCTTTTGTTAGTTTTGACTGACTGTATTTTCCTCATTTGTAAGTCGCTTTGGATAAAAGTGTCTGCTAAATGACTAAATAAATAAAAATAAATAAAGGATCACACTGAAGACTGGAGTAATGATGCTGAAAAACAACTTTCGCCATCACAGTAACAGAAAGAGTTATTTTAAATTGTAATATTGTTTTACTTTGAAATAAATGCAGCTTTGATAAACAGAAGAAATATATTTTAAAAACATTGAAAAACTGTACAGACCCCAAACTGAGTTATAAGTCAACAGATAAATCTCTCTTTAGAAGTCACTAAGAACATGACATTTTCAGAATATTTAGTACACGATGTAACAGTGCACATATTTCTGCCCTCTGCTGTCATTGTTTTATGAAAAATGTCCATTTTGTCTCATAAAGTGGTGAATGAGTCATAAAGAATAGCGTTGTTGGCTAGCATTCTGAAGTTTGAAGGTAACTAGACTAGAGATTTGAAATCTGGACATACTCTGTTGTCTCTTTTCTTGGACACAATCTAAAAAACACGATTTGAAGCAGAACAAATTTGACGGCACATAACCATTTATAAGATATGGCTTTTGTTCTGCACAATTACACATCACATGTAGCAATCCACACGCATGTCTACACAGATGATAAAAGGCGATTGAGAAAAACTGTGCAGACAGAACAAAGGGATTTCACCATCTGTCTTGCAATTGCTTTAAAATCACTATAATAATGTAATAGTGACTCCAACTCAGAAATCAATACCTATAATGTTTTCCATATGAATTCAAAATGACAAAGGACATCTTGTATTTAAAGGGCAAAAACATGAAATGCGACCTTAGGGCCAGGTTGTCCACTTGAACCAGGCATTCCAGGCAATCCCATCTCACCCTGTAGAAAGACAGACTCAGTCAAACAGATGTTCTGAACTTTAAAATTAAATCAAAGTTTACCACATTTTGTGTTATTTCTGACAGTGTAGTTTTTTTTCTTGTTGAATAGTTTGCTTCACTCGGAAATACATGTATACAATACAATAGGTTGTGAATTCTGTTTCATGTTGACTTAAATTGCATAAACCATCTCCAATACATCAAATAAAACAAGGCTTTTCACTGAGCTTGTCACTATGCATTATGCAATCACCTTCCCTGTAAACGTTATACACAACTAAGCCTATCATTGGGGACTGAACCAATAACCTGCATATTGCTTTGAACATTAAATACTAGGTGCAGGCACACTAACTTTGAGCATTCAAGGTCACCCTGTAATGGATATCAGTAACTGGATATGATGACATACTCTGATAAATCACAAATTACATGTAAATTCAAAATGTCCAATATCGTCAATTCTCCTGTAACACTGTAAACCATGCAACTTTGAAGTTGCTGAAGTTAGATGTATTGAGTCAAGAGGTCAATATGTGACATTTACATTTTCTATTGCTAAAACATGTTTTCACCATACTGTATGAATTCACAAGTCAGAGTTCAGTGTTTCCTCTCTCCTATGTTTGCATTCCTATGAATGGAAGTGATTTGAGCACCAGTGTAGTTCAGTGCCACCACAGTTTTAGCTAACTTGCATCTTGTCCACTTTGACAAGTCTACAGATTATGCTATTTCTTTTTCCGTTTAATAGTTTTCTCTCAATTAAGACATGAGGGGTAGTCGAGTATGGAAACCCATACTCAGAATTTGTGCTCTGCATTTAACCCCTCCGAGTGCACACACACACCTTTTGAACACACACCTGGAGCAGCCATTTTTTGCTGCGGCACCTGGGGAGCAATTCGGGGTTAGGTGCCTTGCTCAAGAGCACCTCAGTCGTGGGTATTGAGGGTGGAAGAGAGCACAGTTAATTTAATCCCCCCACCTACATTTCTTTTTGGTACTGAGAATTGAACCTGTGACCTTTGGGTCACAAGTCTGACTCGTTAACCATTAGGTCACAACTCAGTGACATATTTCTGTATCATGATTTTTCAAGAGCTTACTATATTTTTAGATTTACTTACAGGGTCTCCAGGTGTACCTTTGGCTCCTTTTGATCCTGAAAAGCCAGCTTCACCCTTTAAAGGAACCAACAAATGTCAATTTTCAATATATTTAGGGTAGTTTGAGTTATGATAGTAGTGAGACTTATAAACAGTGTTGGGAGTAACGCATTACAAAAGTAATAATATTACAGTAGTATATTACGTTTAGCTGTAACGCAGTAATATAACGCATTACTAATAAAATTTGGGTAATATTATTACTCGTTACAATCTCAGTAACGCAAGTTACAACAACATATTTTAACTCAAAATTAAGTGGTGAATTTACCAACACCGCAAAACAGCACCAGAGAAAAAAATCCGCAGGTAAAATAGTTTGTCTATCTTCTGTTGCTGGAATTAGATGGTTGAGATGACTGCAGAGACGGATTCTACATTTGTGAGATGGACACACTCCTGTTATTTTCAGTTCATCGGAGAAAAGCATAAGAATGCATAGTCAGGTGCAATATGTGCAACACCAAACTCTCAACATGGAGAAATAGCACGAGTAAAACCTGGAAACACCTAGACTGGTGCCACTAACACTAAGCTATCGGAGAGAGAGCTGCGGGGTCGGAGAAGAGAAAAAGACGGCGGACTTACAATTCAGAGACAGTGATATTGTAATGTAACTAATTACTTTCAAAAGACAGTAACTAGTAATATATAACGTATTACATTTTGGAAGTAACTTGCCCAACTCTGCTTATAAACTACAAAATGCATGCAGCTCACAGAATTTTGTAAAAGAGCATGAGGCATAACCTCAAAACAACAACAAATGAGAAACAAAATGTCCACATAAGGACAAAAAAAAGAAAAAAAAGAAAGAAAGAAAAAAAAAGAAAGAAAGAAAGAAAGAAAAAGAAAACATCACCTTCATTCCCCTCTGACCATCATTTCCAGGTATACCAGGTATGCCCTGAAAAAAAGAAAGAATTAAAATGCGGTGTACTAAACACAGTCTGAAAAACGCAGTTTGAAACCACCCCTGCTTCCTATCATCACAAACATGGGTGGGGCTTTTCATATCTGGTCAAAGGTTTCTATCTGCAATGTGTCTTTGCAGCATTGAATAATGTAGCCAATCACAGACATGTCTGTTGATTTCATGAACACAATGGTTAATCAGAGGTGTTTAAGTTAGAATCACCGCTCAAAAACGCCAGCGTTTTTCAATAATACAATCACTTCTGAGCTCTACACACTTGTGAGTCCTCTCATTATAGCAAACAAAGTGTATACGTGATATAAATAAGAGATTCCTTGCGAAGTGTAGAGCTTCACTGATTATAATGGAAGATCGTGATGAACTAAGACGAGTGACATCTTTTCCGTGATAATAAGGGGAGTGCTCTTTGTGTGCTTTCTAGGCTATAATCCATTCAGAATTTTAATGTATTCACTCACGGATTAATTCGCGAAAGTGCAAGGCTATGTTAACCATGAACTATTTTTGAATAGTTTTCATTGTGCACACATTATTATTCTTTTTTTTTTTTTTTTTTTTATTATAAATGTAACAGTGTATTAAATGTAACTGCTTCATTTGTCTAATAGTTTTTTTTCTCAGAGGATATTGACAAAGAAGTTATAGAGTAAAATGATAACGAGTTTAATGGTTTGTCATAACTGCTTATTAAATCATAATGTACTGCAGTACATCTGTTACGTTTTACAAGTGTTCGTTTTTCAAGCTCTGTTTCAAGCCCAATATTTCCCAACCCAACACATTTTCAAACTCTTCCAAATAAAATACATGATTCAACTCATTAGCCTGTTAGTAAAGATTCCAAGACCTGAAATAAATGACTAAGATAAGAGAGACATCCAAAATGTGTACAGTTGATATGTGCTGGTCTGCTGCTGTGCTTCTCTGACAATGACCTGTTTTAAATGGCAAATGCCTTAGCGATTCAGTACACTGACGACTTGTCACCAGACTTTGCCATGCAATTGCTAGCAATGCTTATTTAGGACAGTGTTTGAACTGAGATGTGTGCTGGCCATTAGCCTAAATAAAAGCTTACTGTTAAATAAAATATGTAGACTGGGGGCCTATAACAGATGTTTGTGTATTATTACTGTCGAAGGATCCTACTGCTATTGCTAAAATAACAATCAAATCGGAGCAGTGGCATTTTTATTGCCTCCACGTTAGACTAAATATTTATTCCTGCAGGGATTTCAGTCTGACTAAAAAAATGATATAAAATTTGCACGTTATATAGCCTATGTAATGTTATTCAATAACAATGTCAAGTGGTCCTTGCTAAGGCAAGCAATACTTAGGGTTAAGGATTTCAAGCTCTGTTTCAAGCCCAAGATTTCCCAACCCTGTTTCTGAAGGCACACCAACAGTACACATTTTCGAACTTTTCCAAATAAAACACCTGATTCAACTCATTAGCCTGTTAGTAAAGACTCCAAGACCTGAAATAAATGACTAAGATAAGAGAGACATCCAAAATCTGTACAGTTGATGTGCCTCAAGGAACAGCTTTAGGAAACACTGATTTAAACAAACCTTTGGCCCAGAGTAATACACTCTGGTATGAAACTTTTCACCATTTGTGCTACAGACATTAAAGGCATCTCAGATCATGTGCCTTGTTAAGGAGAGGTGTTTTACCACTCTCCTAACTGATCAGACACATTTTATCTTATGGACAATAAAATTGGTGAAAAATAAATCCCATAGACACTCTACATATTTCATTTGTCTCTCTTATCTAACACACCTGATTTAGACCATCAGCTTGTTAGGAGAGAGCTCCCTGAACTCAAGGGCCTATTTACACTTGTCACTTCAAGTGTTTTTACTGATTTCTCTGTTCAGCATCAGGACGTGATCAGTGGTGTACAGGACACCCCCGCAGCCCCCGCGGTGCATGGGGCCCCTTCGCAGGACATTCTAAAAGGTATTCACAAATCAAACAGAAGGTGTTTATGCTTTGAAGAACGCTAGATGCGGCAGTGTAATTTGGAAAAAAAAAAACTTATGGTTGCTTTTTTAAAACTTTTAAACTTCTTTTGATTTGAGCACCACGTTACTGGAAAACCGTGTCATGCTCGTGAAAGAGACATGAGACGCAAGTGCAAAGGTAGTGCAGCGGAGTGGGAAAGCATGTGAATAACTCTCAGCATGGCTTAATAATGTTCTAAAACAACAACCAGGGAAAATCAATTTTCTCTTACATTTCACTTGTAATAAATACTATACTTCCAAGACAACCACACCGTAATCGCAGTGGATATTTTTACGCTTAACGTAGCTTATGCATTAAGGCAGTGAAATTAAAATATCAAAATCTGCAGAAGAGCTCAGAATATGAACGCAACGCACCAAGTTTTACGTTAAGCATTTACCTCCCACTGTAAAAAAAAGTGGTAATGTGCAGTTGTTAAAGAGTAATTTCTACCAGTTCTTACCCTTAAATTTAGTTTTGTTAGTGTAACCTAATATATTTACAATGTTAAATAACATTTTTCAAACTATGTTTGTGAACAGAGGTAAAACTGTTCATAAGCAATTTTTTATTTCATTATTAGTGCTTTATCACTTTTAAACAATAGGTAACACGGTTACCAATTTGATGTGGTGTGGTCAGTGCGAGGTGATAATGACACACAAAGTTTAGTGTCAATATGTCAAAGCTTCACAGATGTACAGCCTCAGATGCAGTTTGTCATCATGCCATCAAATTTGTTGATGCGGTAAAACTGTTTCATCTATCAACTTGAATTCCACGGTTTTGTTGTTGTTGTTTTTTTTTGGGGGGGGGTTTGTTTGTTTGTTTATTTTATTTTGTTTTATTGCTGGCATGGTCTGAAGATGATCTGAGCCAAATTTGGTGAAAGTTGTACCAACGGTCTAGGAGGAGTTAGAAAAAGTAGGTTTTCAACATAAATCAAAATGGCAGACAGGAAGTTGGGGCGATTATGACATAATTGGTATTGATGTTCTCAGCATGATCCAAGGAATCTATACAGACAAGTCTCGACAATAGTCAAATTTAATCAAAGGTTATTAACGTTTTTTGAAATTTCATTATGATTTTTGGCCACAAGGTGGTGCTGCCATGAAACTATTTGAGTACCTTCAGGGCATGGTGCCAAAGACACATACCAAGTTTCGTAATGATACACCAATGCATTCGTAAAATATAGCACTTTTTGTCAAAACTCAAAATGACCTATGCCCAAAATGGCCGACATGGGAACTCCGAATGTAAAGAGACAAAAATAGACATTATTCATATCTCCTTACCACTAGGTGGCACTGTGCTGAAACTGTGCAGGTACCCTCAGATCACGGTTGTCATAACACACACCAAGTTTGGTCTGAATTCACTAAAGCGTTTCGGAGATAGTGCCTCATGTCCAATTGGTGAGCTCTTCATCAACTTCGTTTGCGGGTTACTCAGAAACGATCAAATTGATTTCCATGTATTTTAGTCAACATGGTCTGAAGATATGGTTTGATTTTGTGAAAATCGGACAAACGGTGTAGGAGTTATAAAAAGTAGGATTTTCAAAAAATTCAAAATGACAGAAAAGTTTTATGAAAATGGGGCACATTTGTTCCAAGCCAAGGAATCAGAGGAAAACAAGAATCTTGTTTCTAGCCCTTACGTTCAAAGGTTATTAGCACAAACGTGAGTGCAACTTTTGACAAGTGAGGCACTAGAGGGTTTGAGTTAGAGACTCCAAATTCGGTGTGGTTAATGTTCAGACTGTTCTCTATCTGTGTGCCAAATTCACAACTTTTTACCATACAGTTCTATGGGGTGCTATATATTTCCAGAGTGGAAGAGGAGGAGGAGGAAGAAGAAGAAGAAGACAACGACTAACGGATACAATAGGTGCCTATGCACCTTCAGTGCTTGGCCCCTAAGAAGACAGTCACATACAAAATATGCCGAGTGGTGAGTCGCAAGGACCACAGTTGGGAACCACCGCACTAAAGGAAGGATGCAGCTCACATATAAAGTTGAATGGGTGGGTTCTTTTCGACTTAGCCCAGAAAGCAACCACGGAGGACACCTTATAAACCACACAGTAATGCTCTGGAAACCACCCAGTACACTCTAGCATCGTATGAGCAAGTTATGCTAACAGATTGTGCAACAGATTGTGCAAGTGGCACTGCCAATAAAACCTCTCTCAGGACATTCCCGAGATACATGCATGCACCTTGTTAGGACTGATTTCCATATCATTTTGCAGCACTTAAGGGACAGATTTTAGGTTATGGGCACACACCCTGACTGGCCTATTTCCTCTGGAAAGTGTGTTTACATTATGTTTTACTGGCCAGGTCTCCATGATGATAAAAAAATAATAAAAACAGTATATTAAACTGTATCTCAAAATCTGAAATACAGACCATTGCACAGATTGATGGCTGTGTTTGCTGTTTTTAGAAAGAGCTACATTTTAGATTGCTTTGGAAAGTTAAGTTTAACTGCAGAACATGCCAAGACGTGCCAACATTTGTCATTTTATCATTTTAAAGCATCTCTGTGGTCATGCACATTTCCTCTTTGAATGCTTCCTCTTCAATCCACTCAGCCTGAATAGCACACACACACCTGGTCTGAGTCGTCATGTGGTTGACACATCCCACAAGGACACTGATAACACCACGCAGCCACAACAAGCACTGCTCATGGACAACATCCCGGCTGAGCCCAGTCCACAGAGCTCATCACAGACAGACTGTGACGTCTCAGAACAGCTCCAAGACTCAGCACCCAAGGACGACTTTCTGGAAAACAGCCAGGGAAGCCAGGACAACATATCACCTAAGCTTCTCACAGAAAATGGAGGAACTGGTGTATGCTGGGACCAAACTCTCCCACTC